TTTTTTTTTTTTTTTTTTTGCCTTTTACTCTAATTTTTCATGTCAAATTATTTATGCTTCCAAGTTAAATAATGGAACGGTTGGGGAATAATAATGGAAATGCCTATCTTTCAATTAACGGAACCGTTATCCGAAAAGACTTTTAAGAGTCCTCTTAATTGCGGTTTAATTTCTCAAGTCACTTTTAGAATACCACTAAACTGTGTTCTGCCATTTGTATTCCAAACTTAACTAATGGAATCATTCATTTTGTAACGTATTACTACAGTTGTTCCATTAGTTATGATGTAGGAAAAGTAACTGTTACAACGATAATTGCTACCATAATTTCCAAATTATAACCGTTTCCTCCATCAGATTTGTTGAAAGGAAGAGAATTTCAACTTGCTTTTCTTACCTTCAGTTTTTACTTTCTTTTCTTTGTTCTGCATCTCCTCTCTTTATTTTCCTCCTATCTCTATTTTTCTTCCCTTCATTTCTTTGTTGGCTTTGCAGTTGGTATATTTTTCGCTATTGTGGCATTATTATTGATTTTATCGGTAAGTTATGATTCCACAAAATTTTATTCTTCTTTTCTTATTTTTAAGATTTTCTATGTTATACCTGTTTTTAGTCTTTTAGTTGACCAACTGTGGTTTTTTTTGTTCATTTCTATTCACCATTTTGGTCCTTAGTGATTTATCATTGCTGTTTCTAAAGTGATGGACTAATATTTATTTTGTTTTACAAAGCTTGGAGTATTTATATTTATGGAGAGAAAAAATATCGGAAGAAATCACTAATTGATGAATATTTATTTTGTTTTACAAAGCTTGGAGTATTTATATTTATGGAGAGAAAAAATATCGGAAGAAATCACTAATTGATGAATATTTATTTTGTTTTAGGAATTTTGGAGCATTGAGATTTCTAAAGAAAAACAAAAGTCGAATTCATCACGACTGTTTAGAGTGTGCGAATCTATTTATTGTTTAGGTTGTGTTCTTCCTTTGAAGTTTGCTTTATTCTCCTTTTTTTTCCTTTTTTTTTCCTTTTCGGTTTTCATTTACTTTTTACTTACTTAAATAATATTAATTTATTTTGTGAATTTACGCTGGTGCCTCGATTTTCATACCTAACTTTTAAATATTACGTTATATTTTAAAATCTATTCTTTATAAATTGTTTGAGTGTAGTTTTTTGTTCGTTTTCTATTCACGATATCACCTTTAGTGATTTGGCATTGTTGCTTCTAAAATAATGGCCTAATTGATGATTATTTATATTGTTTTAGGAATTTTAGAGTGTGGAGATTTTTGAGAAACATATCGAAAAAATTTATCACGGCTGTTTAGTGTGTGAGATATATTTATCTTTTATTTTGCCTTTGGATTTTTCTTTTTTCTTTTCCTTATTTTCTTTTAGGTTTCATTTATTTTTCACTTACTTAGATGGCCTTAATTCACTTGTGAGTTTGCATATTAACTTTTGAAAAAAACAAATTGAAATTAATGTATTAGATGGACCAAATGAATTTTATTTTCAAAGATCCAAAAAATGAAACCTGAAAAATAAATGATAAAACATAAGTAGAAAAGAAAAGGAATGTTAAATACGTTTTCCTTTTCTTTTTGCTTCACTTTTATTTTGGGTGCAAGTGTAAGCGTTGATGCTAAAGTTTTATAATTGATGATGCAGTAATAAACTTGTGCAAGTAAATATTAGGTTTTCAGGTAGTAAAATTATTGTCTGTGATATCCATTCAACATTTTTATGTGAAGGTAATGTTCTTAATCAATTGGTGATTTGATTTGTTAAGAATTAGAAGAAGTTTCAATATTGATATACTAGGGTCATGACGCATGAGTATCACTGCCTATTGCTAAATCTATGGCAATGAAAGAGAACGGCTGCATAAATAGCAAAGGCAGATTAGTGGTATCCTCTATTGAGAGAGCAACTGCGCATAACCACAATGCACGTTCAATAGGTATAACTTCGAATAAGCAATTTTAGCACTCACTTGCCAATAAGTCATGACTGAAATGCCCCTATTGAGTTTTCTTCAAAAACTATTAACGGAACAATTCCCTGATTAATTTATTGTGTAATAGTTTGTTTGGCTATATGTTTTATAATGCCACGGAGATCGAGAATCAGATTTAGATCAATTATGAATGCATAGATAAGTTTGAACTTATATATTGAATACTTTCTCGAAGTTATTAAAATCCGCACCCAATACTTGGTTGTTTTAGCTTTCTTAGTATCCTTTTCGCTCTTTTTTTCCCTTTTTCTATTTCCTTCCTTTCTTCGATAAAATTTTATAGCAATGTTATATCAAAAGGAAAAGTCATGAAGAAGAGGCGACATTGTACATTCTGGATATGAAAATATATTTATCACTTGGAAAAACTTTTTGCTTATTTTTTCTCCGTAAATTCAGTTACATATAATATGACTATTACAATTGTTAATATTCGTTAGGAATAGCATTTAAATGGAACAAAATGCAGAAAAAATTATGTTACAATTTCTTATATTCAGAAGTATCAAAATTCAATTATGAATTAATAAATATTAAAGTCATTATATTAGTGAACTATTACTATGAACATCATTTCACGAAAAGGGAGGGAAGGCTAGAGGATGTAGGTTAGCCTAAAAATCTCTAAATAAATTACTAATAAATATTGATAATGAGTAACATTTAAGTAGTTAAGGAAGGTTAAGATTTACATTACCTTTTTTTCCTCAATATAATGTGTTGGAACAATTTCTCTCACCAATGTATTCATTCATACTGCATAGATCTATGCTTGGTTCAAATTTTGAAACCTCCAATGTAGCAATTTAGATTAAATTCCAAAAGTCTGGCTTACTTTTTCGACTATTCTTTGCAATCTACGTTAAATAAACTTTAAATGCTAAAACCTATTTAAACAGTTTATAGACGACAAACAAGGCAATTAAAGAGGCTTTGGCGAATTTATCAAGCTGTCTACAAAGATAAATATTATACTTATCATAACAAACTTATAGAATTATTCATATGCTTATAAATTAGACTTTTATTTATTCTACTATCTTAATTACTTAGATTCCCAAAGATATTTGTACATTTACTATAACCGCGCGAAGCGCGAATAAATTCACTAATTTCCTCTATAAACTAAAAGAGTTTAACATCAATTAAGAAATTCATTTCTTCGACTATAGTAATGATAGAAGAGCTCAAAGAAAACAAAAAGTTAGTGGTAATGAGAAATAGGAGAGTCAAAATGAGATTCTTATGGGTGATTTGCACAAATAGTACACTTCGGATGCCACTCTAAATTTTTTAACTCCGTTTGCATTATGAGCGGAACTTTAAGTTTAATAAGTGTTACCCTTCGCTTGTTCCACGAACAACACTTTTGATTTTTGACCGTAAAAATTTACCCAAGGAGCAAGCAAAGATCAAATTCAAGGTCATCCATTTTCAAGGTCATTGAGAGTAATTTCGTAAATTTTTTATCCTAATTGCTCCATCAACTATAAATTTTAGTTGGAAAAATGACATTGTATAGCTGTTGTAAAACTAATAGCCAAAAAATGTATAAAATCTATATATTTTTGTGTGTGTATATATATATATATATATATATATATATATATATATAGTTTCTTGTACATTGCATCATATAATACGTTATTTTCAATATAACATTATCATAAACAGCATAACAATCGACGTGTTTCCTTTCATTAACGGATCTGTATCATTGCTCCACTTTTAATTCTAACTCATAATTATCTTCTGCATCAAAATTGAATGTCTCTTTTGTTCCTTTGAGTCCTTGTTTGCATCTTTAATAAATTTTTGCCCTATTAATTACCAGCGTGAGTTTATAGATTTTGCCGACCATTGTAACACAAATGGGTAGCTTGTCGTGATTTTTTATAATTAAGATATTTAAATTATTTTGAAGGGCATTTAGAGTTTTAGCACACATTAGCGTATCTTAAGACTTGAACTTAAAATTTTCAGGATTACTACAGTAGATATAGAC